ATAGATGGGGTGCAAGGTTAGTGTCTGAGTACACATAGGAGTCCCTGGAAGGCTATGTCTAGCTTGTGCTCTCTTTTACCCCTACTCATGTAAGATGGGTGATGGTTCTAGGTTTGTTTTTCGGAGAACCCTTCGCTTGAAAATACCCATTTGGCATCTTGCTTCACTGACTTATTATTTCTGAAATCAACTCCTCCAAATCGTCTTTAATGGATCAAGATGATAGTTCTTATTTGTGGGATTTGTATTTCTTCAGAAACCTTAATGATCGGTAAGCATCTGTATGATCTCTTTAATCGAGCTTCGGTTGAGTCTGTAGTACTTTCTAACTTCTCTGACCATAGAATATGGTCTTTGAATTACTTGGGGTTTTTCCTTTCAAGTCTTACCTTGGCGTTTTGACTCATAACCGTGCCACCCATAATGATGCTTTCTGCAAATGCTTGTGGAAGGTCCCCTCTGCTTTTAAGGTTAAAGTTTTTGCTTTTATTGCTATTCTTGGGCAGACTTAATACTGATAATGTGCTTCGAGCTTGCAGACCGAACCGCGCTTTGTAGGGGGTTTGTGTGATGTGGTTTTTTTTTTAAATAAAAGTGTGAGGAATGGGTTTGTGTGATGTGTTTTAGAGTTGATGTAATCATTTTTTTCTTCAGTGAAATGTAGCTTGGTGTCTATGGAATGGGGCTTTCGGTACTTTATTTGTCTCTTGGGTTTCCCTTGGTACAATCAGTGGTTTCCTCTTTAATGCTCTTTTAGGTATGAGAATTAAGGAAGTTAAAGCTCGTTGATGTTGGTCTTTTCTACTGGAATGTGGATGAGTTGGTTGGAGAGAAACACAGAATTTTTCAAGGATTAATTTCCTCATTTTTGACTCCTTAGGATAAGCTAATTTTTGCAGTTTTTCTGTAGATTAAAGAATATGTTTTCTCTAAGGAGTAATCTTTATCTGTATTGTATAAAGATTTGCTAGCTAGTCTCGTGAGAGATTAATTGGTCTTTCTCTCTCTCTCTCTCTTTTTTCCTTTCTATTCTCTTTTGAGGATATCTAATTCTCCCTAATTTGTACTTTTTTCTCCCCTTAATTAATATATTTCTTTTTCTAATCCCTCTTATCCACCCAAAGAAAAAGCAAATCACAAACATTTCAAGTATTTGAAGTGCATGTCCCGATACCGATCCTCATTGCTGTGAAACTTGATTCAAGTTTTCACCAGTGGAAAAAATTATCCAAATGATGATTAACTATTATGATTATTTAGTATTTTTCATGTATTAAGATATTAAGAAAGTTTGATTAGAATGTACTAAGTTTTGATAAAATTTATTATTGTTATAGTTTCCTAATTTGATTCTTACCGGTGCCCATATGGGGTTAGCAATATATAAAGCAGACAATAACATTTTTGGAGGGAAGAGGTACTTCAGTTTTATGCCTTCTTCTGGTGTCTTTTTCTCTGATCTAGTATTCTTTTGTTATCTCACCTAAATTCCTCTAATTTTTTTTTCACTTTTTATCAATCCCTGAGTTGTTCTGTCACTGCATCACTATGTAAAATCAATTCTCTGTCAATTTTCAATTGCTGCTTGGTCCATTTTGGTTGGTTTTGCTAAATATCTTTGTAGTTGTTAATATTGAATAATTTTCCTGTATTATTGTGGAGATTTTGTGTTGTATGCCTAATGAGATAAATATGGAGCTTCCATTAGAATTTTAGCACACAATTATATCAAATTCAATTGAGTTCAGTCAAATCTAAAATTGAATTTTATCTTAAAATAGAATAAGGGGTTACCAATACATTTTTAACTTGTTCCAAAGACTATTATATTTCCTATTCAAAATCATGATACTTTACATGAGTCATAAGAAAAGTATGGTTAACTTGTTCTTGCCTCTATTTTTTCCTTTCTGTTTCCTGGATTGCATTTCAATTATGATATGATTAATCAATTTGTGACCCTATTTTTCTAGCATTGTCAAATTTTCCTTTTGAACTTAGATAATTTAATCCTTTGCAGGCTTCGTGCTGAACAAGAGAGACTAGAAAGAGATGGTCCAATAGCATATTATTCTGAATGGGTAAAAGGGTGGAAGAAGGATACTTCACGTGAAGCCATTCAAAAACATTTTGAAGAAACTGGTGAAGATGAAAATGCTCAATTACTTGAGATGTTTTGTCATCAGACAGATCGTGAGTACCGCATAATGATGGGAACAGATGTGCGTATTCGTAGAGATCCTTTAGCAATGCGAATGCGAGAGGATCAAATAAAACAAAGTATCTATATTCTAGCTGATATTTCTTTTTTTTTCTTTTGAATATATCCTAGCTGATCTTTATGTTTATTTTCATTTGTTATCATATTTTTGTTTTCTTTTTTTTTTTTGACTTGGGGATAATATCTCTTTTTCGATCTTTCTATGAGTTCTTACGGGTGAGAGAGGTCATAACACCTAGAACCAAAAACTTCAAGGGGAGGGAAGATACCTTTCTACCAGGCTTGATTGAAATAGGAGTTTTCTTGAGTTGAAAGAAAAATTAAGGTTGTTTAAGGAAGATGTTGATTCTAGAAGGTACTGGAGGTGATGGATGGTGGAGGTTTCTTTATTAATTGTCTAGGTTTGTGGTTTGGATTTATATAAAGGAAAAGAGGAAGCTTTAGTAGTGAAGGAAGGTATATGTGACCGAGAATTAAATAGCTCTAGCTCATGCCTAGTTTGTGGCATTCGGTTTCTGATGAACCTTAAGATAGCTGATCCAGAAGAGTTTGGCAAGAAGGTGATTATAAGGTCCTTCACCAACGCTGTGCAAGAATAGGCCGACCAGTGAAGAAATAAAAGCATTCTAAAGTTTAAGTTGTGAAATTGCAAAGGAAACAAAAAGGTCCTAGCTAGGGGAAATAGTTGGGTGGGCCTTGTCACAAAATTGAAAAAACTCATTGGGCCAAACTCAAAGTTCGTTATTGTTGAGAAAGAAAATTGGAGGTTTAGGAGTGCCCTAAATAAAACCTGGCTCTTGTTCTAGCACCAGAATTGGCTCGACTATTATTAGGCCTCTTAAAGGAGGAATCTCTTCTGCCGAGGAAACGCACTGCATAATTCATCTCTTTCTTAGGTTACTCATGCAATGTTTGGAGCGCCAGGACTTCTCTCTAATTGGGTGAGGTCTCATATGTGAAATGATTTTGAAGTGGGGTTCGATGATTTCTTCTAACTAGTTGGTGCTTGCAAATGGTTTGTCCTTCTTTAATATCTTCTTTTACCAAGTCCTATGCTTAGGTTAGTGTCTTCACTTATGTACGACTACTACAATATGGACTTCTTGAACAGAAGTCTAAGTTTCAAGGTCTTCATGGCCAGTTGGTGTTGTCAGCGGGTAGGGGTATGGGAAGCCTGGGAGATTTGAATAGTTGGTAAACTATGAGAGGGGACTAGGGCACCAGGGAATGGAGTGACTTCTGAGATTAGTGATCTTCTATTTGTTTATGATGATTTGAAGAGTAATCCTTGGAATGAGAGAGGCTCAATGATGCTGATGTACGAGCCATCACTAAGGGCTCCATTAGGAAATAATGAGTGGTGGGAACCTAGGTTGTTTTTAAGATAAAAGGTTGAGTTGATAAGATGTAATGGCCAAAAGCTTGTGAGGAATTAGAGAGCGTAAATGGTTTGATCTTCTATGTTAGGGGACAATGATCTTTTGTGGGATGAGATCTTTGGATCTCATTGATAGTGGGAGAGCTCAGTTTATCTTTCTTGTGAATTCAAGGAGGAGGCTATATATTATTCTTGTGCTTTTTGAAAGGTCTATGTGAAAGGTGAATGTAGGGATTGACTTATCACGTCAACAGGTGAAAAATTTTTGAATGCCACATGGCCCACGGAGGCCACTTCATCTGGGTGGATTTATGGGTATTATATAAACTACATGTTCATAAGGCTTATAATCATGCATCTCAGAATTTTTAATTAATCTCTTGCATCACATGGGATCTGAGAACAAATGTTGCAATTGGATCAAGTAGTGCACGTTGATTGCCTTTTGTGGTCATGCTAATTGGTGGAACTTTTAGTTTCTTTGAGCCTTGGGGGCCTAAAACAAGAATACCCCTCTTATCCTATTTGTTCATTTTGATAGTGGAAGTCTTCAACAAAATAATTCTTAGGGCTATAGTTACCAACACATATTGAAGGCATACATCCTGTATTTCTTAAGCACTATAGGTTAATGTCATCAGCTATCTTTCCGGTCTTAAGTTGCATTCACACATCTATCCATAACCCAATTCTGGTCAAAACTTTGATTTGTGTTAACAAGCTAATATTGTTGTTCTGCTGGAAATTTGAAGAAAAATTTGTTTCCTTGCATGTTTTGATGCCCATGCTAAAATACTTCTTAGGGCTATAGTTGCTAACACATTATTGAAGGCATACATCCTGTATTTCTATAGGTTAATGTCATCAGCGATCTTTCCGGTCTTGAGTTGCATTCACACATCTATCCATAACGCAATTCTGGTCAAAACTTTGATTTGCTTTAACAAGCTAATTTTATTATTTTGCTGGAAATTTGAAGAAAATTTGTTCCTTGCATGTTTTGATGCCCATGCTATTATGTTAATGTGCTTGATTATCTTTTGTTCTTTCCAGTATGGGGTGGGGATCCAGTTTACCCAACTGTGAACTATATACAAGATCCTAATGAAATAATTGATTATAGAGGACCAGATTTTCATGAACCAACACCCAATATGCTGGCTTATCTGAAGGAGGTTAGCGTTCTTGGTTTTTCTTTTCAGTTTCTTACACTTTGCTCAAAACATTGTAAAAGACAATTATGTGGTGGTTTGGTCGTGGTAATTTATCTATTTGATCACTTTCCTGCAATTATAAATCTGAAACGAAAGTTTTGGTTTCTGCTTGAAACAACATCAAATATTTCTCATATACATGATAAATTTTTGGAGTGTATAAAATAATTGAAGTTCCTTAATTTTAGCGTAGGGAATATTTTACTTTGATTTCAAGGAATAAGTTGTTGGAAAAGAAAGTGTATATATTTTTTCTTTTTGTGTAATGTATAGAATCAAACCTATTTAAGTAGGATCCTATTCTGGTGGAATATCCCATAAACCATGAGATTCCAAAATAGTTAGGTTTCCTTTTACGTAGCTAGAATAACTCTATAGATATTTGTATAATCACTTGTAATATTCAATAAGGATTACAATTTTCTCCTCATGGTATTATCGGTATAGGAAAAAAAATCATAATCTTTCTTTACTAAACCTAGACCGGCCTTTATTGCTGGAATCAGAACAAAATCCTAAAGTCAAAGAATTGGCCTTCATAGCCAGCACTTCCCAAGTCCTGGCCTTCTTTGCTGCATGCAAACAACCGCCAACAGCTAGACGTCAGCCACCCTAAGCCACAAGCCTAGCCGCAACAGCTACTCAACCAGCAGTTGAGCCCAGTCAGACGCGAGCCACGTCCAGCCCCATGCCTAGTGGTAGCAGCTGTACAACCAACCCCTTTCAGTCAGGACAGACACGTGTCTCTACCTGCTTCAGCTGTGTGGTCACTGCTACTTGCCCCTCAAGTTGCTGTGCACGACCTTACTCCACCATGACCAGCCTTCATCGCTGATGGTGTGCAGCTGCGTAGTCCCTTTCTCAATCAACATTCATTGCTGGTAATTCTTACCTACACAAAAGTAACCTAGAAAAACTTTAGAAGTAATAATAGAAACCAATTACCTTGCTCAAACAGGAGAGACTATTAGATCCCAACAATTCAGGAATTGTAAACCATTCAAGCAGCATATAGGCTGAAGGAAAGAACTACCTAAAATGTTCCCAACTTGTTCATACTATATTGAGAGAAAAGGGAAATTCAATCACCTCATGGGCACATGCCCAAAACCAGGTGATCCTCGATTTAAGGCATGAGAGGAAGAAGACTGAATGATTATGGCCTGTTTATAGAACGCCATGATACTGGTTATGGAATTTCAGAACCACTAATATAACTAGATGATGAGGAAGGTCATTGAAAATAATAAAAATTTGAATTCTTATGAAATCTTATATGAAATTGTATTTGAGATCATTTTTCATACAATTTGTCTTTCTCCAAGTTGAACTAAATGTGGATTTGCAGAAGAACTCCACAAACTCGTTTCAAACATAGGCTAAAGATACTTCTCGAAGAGATATTCAGCGTAACCCAAAGTGGAGCAGAAAAACCTAGGCATTGGAAGAAAGAGGGATATTTGACATGATTTCTAAAGAATATATCATTTCTTTATTGTATAGAACCTGCAAACCAAAGCTTGAATTAAGCTTCAAACTAAGTTTGAGCTCAAATATTTGAGCTTGAATAGCAAGACGAAAAGTATTTAGCGCTCATTCCATTGGTTATTTTATGGATGCTCTGACAGTAAAGAAATAGGAGAGTTTTTAAGGGAGTGGAGGAGAGTATTGACAAAATTAGAGAGAGATGGTTTCAGTCCCTTGAGTGTTGATAATGAAACAAAATAAATCTGCACTCGATAGAGAACCTAGGTGAACTAATTGATATACTAAATAATATGTTAATTCTTTTCGTACATGGGTTTTGCACGCCCTTGGTGCATATAATTAATACACTTCACACTTTTTATTTCAAAAAAAAAAACTTGAGCTTGAATATCTAAATATCCAGTTTGGTTTGGCTCAGTTTTGCTCGTGTCTTCTTTTCAATGATCTAGGTGGACGCAAATAAGAATGGCATTGGCTATACCATGAAAGAAGAATACATAACTGATGTAGGACAAGTGAGGTCCGAAATTAACTTATTTTGCTATAGCATGGAATTAAAGAGAAAGTAGGTAAAAAAATAGAGAAAGAACAGCAAAGTTCATAAGAAAATCGTGGATTGAGGTAAATAAATATAGCAAGGAAAAATTACCGAGAGTAGACTTATATCGATAGAAAGAACATTGTCTAGCCTTCCCCATCTACTTCATGTTCCTGTTTCCAAGCCTAGTACTGCTGCTGAAGAGCTGAAGTAGATTCAATGCAAGGTTCCTTTGGTGGTACTGATGAGTAGGGATATTTATGCCTATTGAATTGGGATGCTACTAAAAGGCCTGCTTCTAAAGGGAGTCTGATCATTCGTTTTCTCTCCTCAATAGGTTATTTTGGTGATTTGGTGCATCCTTATTTGCAGAGGCAGTCTATGGTGGAACGTGCTTGGTGCTAAATATGAGCTTTTGGTTGGGGAATGGATGTCTAAGTTATAAAAGGTCTATTGTACTAGCTTGTGGAGGGATGACATGGCTGTTTTTGTTAGCTTTAAATTCACTAATGGTAATAGGGTGAGATTTTGGGAGGACATGTGGTACGAGGAGCTTGCTTTGAAATCTCAATTCCTCATCATCTATGGCTTAGAAAGATGCAAAGAGCCCAAAGTGACTGATTCTATGGCCAACTAATGATTAGTAGGGTTTTCGATGAACTTATCCTAAGATAGTATAGATTTAGAGAGAAAATAGATGAGAAAATAGAGGAACAGTGGAGTTTTCACACTATTCTCAAAGTCTTCCCACTTATCAAGATTATATCCACACTGAACCAAAAAGTATTTGGGTGCTCTGCATTTGTCCATATACATACCCAACATGGTAGCAAATTAGACCTAAAATCCATTAACTTCATATTTCTGCATTACTCTCCAAATCAAAAAGGCTACAAATATTATTCTCCAACCACCAGAAAAGTTTACACTTGAATGGATGTGACATTCTTTGGAAATAAAACCTATTACCCCAAACATGAAACTCACGGGAAGAATATGAGGGAATACCAACTTTGAAAGAATGACCAACACTAAAGGGACCCTACATGGCTGTCTTTACCTCAACCAAACTTAATACAAAACTTCCAACAATCTCCATGCCAACAACAACTTGGAAGCATTAATTGTAGGAAACACCAATAGCAAACTCAATCTCTTAATGGTCAGCCCGTCCTGCCTACCCAAGAGTCAAATGCAGATACCTCTCACTCACCTCAAGTCATGGATGACAACCAAAACCTTAACAAGGAATTGATTGTCTATACACACAGATGGAACACCAAAAGGGAGGTAGGGCACTTAACACACTTCATCAATGACCAAGAATCTGAACCACCTCAGACTCATGATCACACAGTAAGGAAATTTCTGGTTCTGATGCTATTCCTAGGATGGATGACTTAAACATTTCAATTACTATAAGAAAAGGAGTAAGAACTTGCACAAACTACCCCATTTGCAAGTACATATCTTCTAATGGATTATTTATATCGTACCAGGCTTTTGTATTTACCTTTGACATTGTATAGATTCTTAATTGCATCTAGGAGGCAATCAAGGATCCTGAATGGAAACCAGCAGTTAAAGATGAAATAGAGTACTCGAGAAGAATGACACACTGGTGATTTATGATCTTCCCCTTAGAAAGAAAATTGTTGGTTGTGAGTGAATTTTTACTATAAAGAAGCATTGAGATACTAAAATTCAGGCTCGTTGCAAAAGGATTCATTCAGTCATAAAGAATAGATTATCAAGAAACCTTTACTCTAGTGACCAAATTCAATACTATAAGGGTTCTTTCTATTGCAACAAATTTAAATTGGCCACTATACATCAAACTTAATGTCAAAAATGTATTTCTAAATGGTTCTCGAAAAGAGGTGTACATAAAAATTCCTCCAGGACTTGAAACAGATTTCCACATCAATAAGGTTTGCAAACTGAAAAAAAATCTTTGTATAGCCTAAAACATTCCCCACTGGCTTGGTCAGGGAGGTTCACAAAGTCCATGAGAAAAATCGGGTACATCAGAGGTCAAGTTGACTACTTTTTGTGAAACAATCCCCAAAAAAGAAAATTGCTATTCTCATAGTATGTTGACTACATTATTCTCATGAATGATTATAAAGAGAAATTATTAAGACTTAAGAAGTTTTTGGCAATGGAATCTGAAACAATAGACCGTGGTAATCTTAAATTCTTTCTGGGCATGGAGGTGCAAGATCAAAGAAGGGTATATTCATCTCACAATGTAAGTACACTTGGACGTACTAAAGGGAACTAAAATGCTAGTATGTAAGGCTGCAAATACTCCAATAGACATAATTAAAACGATAGGAAACGAGAAGGGAAGTACACACTAGTGGACAAGGGGAGATATTAGATTCTTGTGGGTAAATTTATATATCTTTCCCACAATAGAGCAGAAATCAGGTTCTCAATTAGTGTCACAAGTCAATTCATGCACAACCGAACTGAGGATCACTTGGAGGTTGTATACAGGATTTTGAGCTACCTCAAGGTGACCCAGGAAGAGGATTACTTTACAAGAAACAAGTCACCTGGGACATTTCTGTTTTTTCTGACATACTGGACAAGAGATATGAAGGATAGAAGATCCACTCTGGGATACTATTCCTATGTTTGCAGGAGCTTAGTTAAATGGAGAAGCAAAAAACAACCTGTTGTTTCTAAAAGTAATGCTGAAACTAAATTTAAAGCCTTATCATTGGAAATTTGTGAAGTTATGTGGATAAGGAGACTCACTGGTGAATTGGGGATAATTACTGGGTATCGACCTATTATGGGATGACTAGACTGTCATTAATATTATAAGAACTCCATGCATCATAACTGGACAAAGTGCATAAAAATTGACTGTTACTTCATTTCATAGAATATTAAAAGTTTTGGTAATTCAAGTGATCTACACGCCTACAAAATCACAGACTGCGAAATTCTCACTAAACCCCTTCGAAGAACCACCTTCGAAGAACTCTGTTGCTAGCTGTGTTTATTCAATATTTACAACTCGACTTGTGAGGGAGTTTAGGATTCTAAATTAGGAAAGAATAATGATGTGGAATTCTGTGTAATCCTAAATTTGGTTAACTCCTATATAATGAGATTCTCAGTTATTCGATAACCAGATCTTCCAAAATTTCTTACCAAATTCTATCCTTTTCTTTCCATAGTAAGGATAGAAAGTTAGGGTTTCTCGG